CCGTTGCAATCGCGCTCCAACGCTACTAATCAATAGGGCTGCTCCACCTTGGTCTTTACTTTAGCACTGCATGAAGACAGGCCCCGCGTTCAAGCAATTCTCATGATTTATTCCTTGCCCGAGTAGTCCACTGCGTGATCGTAAAGATTGTTTCACTTTCGCGGCTTCAGCATGAGTGACGAGACGCAGTTATGTACACATGGTGTACTGTGCGGTATACTGTATACAACTGGTATAGCGTACCTGTCGTGCAGATGAGAAAACCCAAAGAGTTGGTTGAGCTCGGGCAAGTCTGTACAATAAACGTACTGTACATACTGTGGACATAATTTGGAGCAACGCTGGCACCTTTGCGCTGCTCGATGATGATTGGCTTCATGCTTACGACCCCGCTCCCCAGCCGAGCGATGAACTGCGACTGCTTTCGTTGGTGGATCCCAGCGATGGCGTACCCATCTCAAGCGTCAACCTTGGTGGTGCACTATTCCATGCCCAGTGTTTAGTACATTAATAAGAAACAGAACAAACACATTTATATAAACAATCAACATAAAACGGATTTCTTCACTGCAATATGACCAAACAACAGTAGTCTTCTTGTTTTATGTGTCTTTGCATTCGCCTAAACAGAAAGAAATAATAATGAAGATAATGGGACCACCCTTGGATTGTCCTCACGTTGCATCCATCTTTTGGCCAATGATATCTGGTCAAACCGTATGAGAAAACTTGGTCAGAAGTTGAGACGGGGAGCATGATTACCATGACATTTGCGGATCATTGCATCGAGCCTGTTTTTCCCCAGATCAAAATGGAATCTTGCTTGGCCCATTATGCGACTTTTCAAGACTTCAAAATTTGTTTAAGACTTCGATGCTTTATCACAGTGTTGCAATCATTCGACATAATTTACACATTACAAACAATGGCGCTCGATTTATCACGCCTATTTAGATTTCGTTAATTTTTCGAATCGTCGAAATGGAGTGTCAAGTTATTTCCGCTCAACCGTGGTGCTACAATGGCAGAAGCTTCTTGTAAAGTGCAATTAATGCCATACTAAATATTGACTGAGGCGATTCAAACATTGTAAATCCCACTTCACGAATATGCCTCTCACCGTCAGTAGATGCTTTAGTGAGATGGGAACAAACGAACCAGCTCTTTCGAGAGGTTTTGCGAACCACAGACATTATGGAATGCTCTCGCACAAACGTTGGACGTTACATTGACTCGATGGGTGATGCTCAAAAACTTGTCCACGGGTACCACATGCAACAGAGCTTAACTATTCAGCATCAGAGCTTATCTATTCACCTTATCGCTTTGATTGGCGCTTTTATTATCACACTCGTGATGAACGCACTCTATGCTTCCCCTCCCGTACTCTCCCTCACTAATCCCACCCACCCACATTATACCCTCCCCACTCCCACTTGCCCCACCCACTCCCCATCCCGGTCCCGGCCGCTGCACGTGCTCACGTCCACTGCCACCCGAGCAGCTCGTGCAATGGTTTGGAGTGCACTACATGG